CAATGGAACATCAGATTTGACTTTAATAGTAAATATATAGAAAGCATCAAAATTGTGCACGCATATTAGGCATGCAGTACAAACTTTCCACACAGTTGGCTTGATAGCCTGGATAATAAAAAGAACACATTTCGATATTTTGAGCAAAAGCCAAAATGTCATGTCAAATATGTTCTCATTACAGGCTGTCAGGATCAAACCCTATTGCTGTTTATTATATACCCACCACGTCAGTATATATTAACTTTATAGTCACTGTCATCATACAACCATATGAAATTTCTACTTCAATTTTGTATGTTTGCCCAACAAGAAATCCAACAACAATATTATATTAATTACCTTCATGGACAGCAAATTGGAGTGTCAGTTTACTAATAAAATAATCAATGTTTTGGGCTCGAAAATGACAAAAGAAGAGTTTGCCTAGATCCTTAGATAGCCCATCAAGAACTACCGAGCTGGAGGCTCTGAAGGCTAAATATAATTTAACCAAACAAAAGGTATGTTTTTAGAAGTTGTGCTGTTGATCTTATTATCTGTGTAGCCAACAATTTTACATTTTGCAACCAGTCCAAACTTTATATATCCGCTTGTATTGATGGTTGCAAAACATAAAATATAGGAAACAGCGGAAATCAATGTTGCCACAACAAATGATAATAAAGCCAAAGGCCTTCATTGTGGGCCTTCACTCAAGTACTTATTCTTTATATTAATTCTATGTCATCATTCATAGATATAATTTTAAAAATACAATGCATATATCTGTTGAGCATGAAAGGACAAGTTTTTCAGATGAAAGTGAAGATGGAGATGTAAGCGTGGATAATTTTCAACACTATTCTAATTTAATGGGATACTTGTAACTTGGAGTCTGGTATCCACTAAGAGAATCTATTGGCCGTGTTTATATTAGAAAATGGGGCTTCGGTGGCCAAGTGGTTAGCGCACTTGCCTTTCACCTCTGAGGCTGCAGGTTCGAGTCTCACTAAGTACCTTCTCAGTGCGACTCAAACCCAGTCCCCATGTGAAAAGAGTAAAAGTCAACGCTCTGCCGAAAGCCGTGGGTTTTCCCCGGGTACTCCGGTTTCCTCCCACAGGGAAAGTTGACAGTGTGGGTTAGGTAAAAAAGGGCCCACAGTAATTGGCATATGCTGTTGTGGTGACCCTGCCCTAGTTGGCAAAAGCTAAATAAATAAATAAATAAATAAATAAGACAGCTTTAACGTCTCAGACGACTTAACTGTCTGAGACGTTAAAGTCGTCTAATATAAATACGGGAAATTAGATAGACGAATAAAAAATTAAGGTCGTCTGTTAAGTGCGTCCAAACGACACACTAAACAGACGACTTAATCGTCTTAGACGTTTAATTCGTCTAGTATAAATACGAGACGACTAAACTTGGATGCACTTAGCAGGGAAACAATGCAGAAGGTTGTCAAATTACTACATTTTATATATTTTCTTGGTTTCATTCTATACTGGTTTCCAACTGTTCATCTTGTATTTATATTAGTCGCACTTAACACAAGACATCATATCATCATCTCGTATTTATATTAGTCGCACTTAACATCCAGACGTTTAAGACGTCTTCTAATATAAATACGGCCATTATCCACCATGAGAATCTACTATCCTATGTTTTGATAATAAACATCCTAGCAAGTGGTAACCAAATGCCAGAGCATGGGAAAACTCTAAAGTATGCCACACTAACCTTTATAACTTTATTGGGAATACTAACAATAACGATAAATAGGTGTTTCCCAAAAGGAAAGGTGCAAACGGGTCAGAAAAAGCCCATGCGAGGCACCTCCCTTACAAACTTTACACAAAAAATTACATTACACTATAAATTATAGTTGAGGTAAAGCTCGATTTGCGCATACCCACTAGACTGGAGTGTCGAAACGTTAGGTCTTGATTACAATTTGACTGGGCTTTGTAATATTTTTTAAACCAGAGTAGCGAGCAAAACATGACAAACACTGAAAGTTTTCACAATTGCCAGAAAACAGGGTTACTGGGGGAGAGTATGCTAATTAAATCACCAAATACAGACATTGTGAATAATTAGACAAATATTACCGAAATCAGTAGAGTGTCTTTTCCGGAAGTTGAAAAGACAGTCAAAAGCCAGTAGAAACGTTCATGTTTTATAACGTCACGATGAAAGAATGTAGCGTGGAACTTGTAAGTTATTTTACTTATAAGTAAACTTTGCATTTCTTCTCCCAGTGCCTTCCCGCGAATAAAGGTTCTCCCTAGTGTGAGGCGGTTTCTACAAAAAACCGAAAACCGACCAAAAAGAAACCGAAAAAACCTAGTGAACAGATTTTTTTAAAAAATATGTTTGAAAATCGGTTTAAAAAAGACACAACACACGCTATTGAATATTTTATACCTGTCTTCACAGACGTCCGCCTTTATTACTAGCGAATCAACATTCACCATCGTTTGATCCGCTTATCCATTCAAGACTTCACGCTCGCGGGAAATTGTAGAATGATATTTATAACGTAAGGTATTTTGAAGATGTTATCAAATTTCAAACAAAATCTCTTTAGTTTTCGTGTGTAAATGCCAAAACTTGATTCATTTGCAACAAACTTGTGTAAGTATGGTTCGATTTCGGTTTTCCCCTGTTTTTTTCGGTTTTTCTCCAAAAGTAACATCGAGTAATTCGGTTTTCAAAAAACATCGTTTTTTTTTCGGTTAGCGAAAAACCGCCTCACCCTAGTTCTTCCTTTGCTCAAAAGCTTGTATTGTGTTTGGCGAGCCATTGGCACTTTGTCATACTAAATAAAGTTACTAATAAGTAAAATAATATACAAGTTCTATGCTGCATTCCTTCACCATGACATCATAAAACATGAACGTTTCTACTGGCTTCTGACTGTCTTCTCAACTTCCGGAAAAGACACTCTACTGATTTCAGTAATATGACAAATTGTAAACATAGGAAATTTCTGTGGAAATTGAGGAATCAGTTTTTGTTTACATGTAATATATCCCAATTGACATTTGTGATGTGCGGTATCCAGATTTAAAATCTGATATCCTTTGGATATGGGACACTGCAAATTTCAAGGGTATTCACTTAGTTAATGTTGTTTTATGACTTCCTCTGCCTTATAAAACTATAGCATATGTCATGCCAATTTTTATTGTCTTGTCAATACACCTGTACTTATTTTGAAAATTTGCTGACATTTTAGAAATTAGGCCATCATCTGGGGCCCCAAAAGATGGCTAGAAAACGATTTTCGTTGCACACCTTTAAACTAAAAAAAATTACATTCTTATAGATTAAATGACGCTGAATCCAAATCTAAAAAGTTCTTGTGGGTTCACCCTGCAGTTTTTTTGTAAGTGGCGATCAAAATCTTAAAATTTACCAGTTTTGCAATAGCATTTTTACTATATGCCATACCTCAAGATGCAAACTCTTGGAACCAGTCGCTTGGATGCCATAGTGAAATTATACAGGATAGGTCACTTCCGCCTACTTTTGAGATATATGGTAAACAGCAGAGTAAGTCACATGTAAATATGGAGGAAGATATTTGCTCATATATAATTCATACATGCGAGATTTCGAATAATGTTTCACCTGTAAAAGATTTTACTGCTGTAACACTTTCAAGATTTTTGGGTAGCCGGAAAATATGGCTATTTTTGAATGGAAATTTGACTGACGTAGCTGTAAAGTCTTTAAGTATTTCTCTGATCACAATGAAAAGGCATTCATCAACGAAGGAACAGTTCCAGACAGAAGCTTGCAATATCATATTGAATGTTATCGAAAGTTTACTGATAAAACAAGAATTAATAGAGCACAGTGAATGACAACCTCGTACCCAGGGCATTTTACCTCCGCGGCGTCGGCGAAAATGGCCCTGGCATCGGCCGGTCACATGACACCCTGAATTTTGGGGTGTTTAGTATGATAATTTATGAGCACCTCTGACAATTTAGGAATTAATTTACATAATAGTTATGCAGATTCAGGAATAAAAATTTACAGCTTGTCTAAAGAACTTTATACAGTATTAGCGAATATGGAAATTCTCAACAGAATACATATCGCTTTACATAATGCGGGTATGGTCAATAGAATACTTAAACCACAGCAAATACAATGTTTTGATTACATTTGTAAGGGACATGATGTTATTGCAGTTTTGCCCACTGGATTTGGAAAGTCAGTTTTATTTCAATTGCTTCCAGACATATTGCCGACAAAAACAACAATCAACATTGTTATTGTGCTGTGCCCTCTTTCGTCTATCATCGAGGATCAGCTGCACAGTCTTAAGATCATGAGTATTAACGCCGGTGTTCTTCCATCACATTACGAAAACAAAAATTGTGAAACGCTATTCAACAATGAAGATATGGGCATGGCAGCCGACATCCATTTGCCAGACGATCTTGTAAATGGGCTTACCAGCATAGTTTTCGCTCATCCTGAAGATCTCCTTTCTGATGTTGGCAGAAAACTTATGAAATCAGATGTCTATCAGAAGAATGTTGTAGCCTGTGTAATCGACGAAGGTCATTGTGTGGAAATGTGGTAAGTAAAATGTCCATGTTATAAATGCATCAACATTTACAACAAATTGCATTAAACTCTTCTTTTAACATTTTATCTGATTTGTTTTAATATCAGTTTTAGTACTACTAAAGTGAACTCCAACCAGTATTGTGTGTTAATCAGAGAGCCAAATTGTTTGTTGTGAGATGAGATGAAAGGCAAAGGCTTGCAAAGCCCAACCACTGCCCCCCCCCCCATCTCAGTCTTGCACCTATGCACTTTGGTTTGCACCATCCCCACTGAACACTTGCCAGAAATCTTCTATGTCTGGCAAATAAGAAAACCCCTGCTAAGACAAAATTTGTTTATAAATGTGATTTTTATAAAATGCCTTTTCTAGATTTTGTGCTATGGGTTATAACAATTTATATAAACAGTTGTTTTAATGTTATAG